ATTTTATCGCTCATATTTGATTGCAAAACTCTTGTCTTGTCCTTGATACAACAATGATACCAAATAATTTTGTTACGTTTAAAATAAAATAAAATATATTAAAAAAAATGGGGTTTATAGAATTTAAAAAAATCGACTAAATATCGTCATAGTTGATAAAAAAATAAAGCAAAAAAAAATGAAGAAGCCATTGTTTTGAAGATTGTTGTAATTATTAGGAACCTAGAAGTTTAGCATAGGCATTCAACAACAAGCGCTTCAGTACTGCGACTCGCTTAAGTCGCTTACCTGGCAGGTAATACCTGCATGTGATTCTGCTGGCCGCATAGATAAGTCAAGTACAATTTAATGGTTTGTTTAATCGGCTATGCTTAACTACGAGCAGCAGACCTTTTCTACCACCTGTTTGTTACTGAGTAAGAAAACAGGCAATGCCTATGGTGCCCACAGGTACCTACCTATAGTTATTTTTATATAAATTCACCACCTACTAGCTTCTGCTCTCCTAATGAATTTTATCGATGATTTTTGATTGTCCTCGTTATATTATTTAGAGGTCAGATCATAAAATTGAAACAAACATGTGAGGAAAACAAGCCTTTTTATTTTATTTTATTCAGCACAGCAAATAAATACCATATAAAATATGTACTTATGTTGTTTATAGGGATGCATCCTATACAGAAAGGCGATATTTTATTTTTTCCGATACATCGGTATCGGTGATATTACAATTCAAATTACGATACTTTTCAAATTTTGCGCTTTTTTGTATGTAACTAAACGCGCGGGGATTAACAGTTTTTAAGTTGTGTTTCCTAAATATAAATCTTAAGATTTATATTTATATTATTCACAATTTAATTGTGAATGTTATAACATTACCTATAGGTAATTAAATTAACTTAATTTTATTTTAATTACGTTTTTAAAAGATATATTATCATATATATAACCCTACAATTAAAAACGCATAATATATTATTATTAATATAATATAATATAATAATATATACAGGGTGCACCAAGTATCCTTCTGTGTATACTGTGGAAAGTAAGGTTTTACACATTAATCTACATTTTCGTCCAATTTCTTCGCTATCATATTTTGAGTCATCATCACCATCTTATGTTTTTATAATGGCCGCCATAACTTATGTATTTTAATACATCGTTGAATTACTTGATTTTTTTCCAACATGGTTGGTGGTAACTCATAATCTAGTAGACGAAAAAAAATCACAAGTTCTATAAAAATGTGGATAAATGTGTATATTTACATTTGAAACTAACTTTATTTCAAAAACCCTAGGAATAACGATTAATTATTTGAGAACCGCTGTTTTTTTTCAAATGTTAAACGCTGTGCCTAGCGGGGACTGACTGAGGTCACACACAGTGAATCGGTTTTTATTCCCCGAGCGTTATAAAATTAATATTAACCTGGATAGCTGATGGGGATAGGGAGGTCGCTTAGCATGCGAGAGGTTTCGGCATGGAGCCTACACAAGGAACCCGAACTTAATAGGGAAAATTGACAAAACCTGCCCTCTAAATTGCACAAATTAATTATTTTTTTTGACCACCAGCGGCGCTGATTGTCGATGCTTACTGACGTCTGCTCTTTTGGGAGCTTTTCGGTACAACATATAGTCAATTGTTTCAGAACAAACAGAACACCAGCTTCCTCTTATCTTAGGAATATTCTTACATGAAGTTCGGACTCCTTGTGTAGGCTCCATGGGTATCGAGTTCGATACTTAGCGGCTCGACAACTTTTTTTTCATTTTATAAATTTACGTAACAAAATAATACAATGACGCATTAAAAAGCATTATTATTTAATTTTACATTAATATTTTAGATTATTTAGATATGTATTTAAATTAAAATGTTAAAAAGTGTTGGGTTGGGTGGTTTGTTTTAGTTTTATCGTAACAATTACATAAAATCGTAAAATTATGACGTCATTGGGGATTGAACTTAAGACCCGCCTCGGGACTCTAGACACAGCAAATTTTAAATGCCATTTCAATAGACTTGCAAGTCTATTAAGATGGCATTTAAAATCAGCGGTTCTCAAATAATTAAAAAAACTGTAATACACTGTTCAAAATTTCATGACCATTTTAACATCAAATTAACACCATACATGGTCTATATCGATACAAACCAAAATGGTGTTAAATATGGTTCGTTGGTCCAGTGTAAATTCAAATACTAAAATGGTGTAAATTTAACTTTCACACAGTATTAATATAAATTTTAACTGATGTAAATTGAACTCGTTTTCAGTGTTAAATATAACATAAAAAAAGGAAAAAAAGAAAACGGGAAGTTCCTTGACGCATTACAAGTATATTACCAGTGGTATTATTCCAGAAAATTGAACCTTCAACTCGCTAGAGATAATGTTTTTAGTGCGTTCCACCAACTTAAAATACTTTAAATATTGACAGCTGTTTCCATCTATTTAAGGTCTCTTTAGTATCGAACAACTTGTAGTGTCACACCAAAGCAAAGGACTACCTGAGCTTATATAGGTACTCTTCATGTAAGTCAACAGAGGCGAGATTTAAGAACATCACGTCATCCACACCGCCTTTGCCGCGATCGGTACACACTATGCAACAAGGCATGCACGGCAAATTGTTTTAATCGTTTTAACAGAGTGCTTTAGGTTGAAGTAACTCTTATTTTACAAACAACATATTTAGTAAACTGAACAATACAGCGGGTTGGTTTCACTTAAGTTTTCTGGGTTAATTTAACCAATTTAAAAAAAATAAATATAGTTATATGAACTATTCCTCTTTTTCTCTGTAGGTGCACTTCTCAAATATTTTTAGATAAACACCTTTTTGGTGTTTTGCTGTATAAAACATTTTCAAGCATAATTCATGGTGCTATATTAACAGTGTTAATTTAACACCACTTGGTGTTGGATTTTGACACCATTTTAAGATTACTCTTTACTCCACAGATATTTTAAACAGTGTACTGTAATACATGTAATTACGCAACTTTTCTGCAATTTCACAGACCACTGGTCTGTGAATTTAAGAGACCTTGTAGCTCTTCAATTAAAAAAGATACCCATACATTATATTATATATATTATTATATTATATTATATTATTAAACAACTTGTGTCAAGGTATGTGTATATAACATAATTTATATATAAACCATCCGTATCGTATACTTATATATACGTATATATTAGGGTGTCCCTTATTTTTATTTTTTTACGCATACCCTCTAATTATATTTATTACTTGTTTATATACTCCCAGTAAAAATTTCAGCTCATTCTATAAACGGGAACCCGTGCCGACTTGCATCTGAACCCTCCGTTAGCCAACGTTAGGCGCGCGGTATTTTGTAACACGGTTGGTCGCGAGGTCTTCGATCGTAAGTCATTTTGTGTTTGTTATTATGTGACCCTTATTTTATAAATTATTCACAAATGTTAAAATATAATTTTATTTATGTGTATACTTTGATAAAAATGTATATTTTCAGGGAGTGGCTAGTTACCCGGAAGGGTCTGGTGAATAGGCCGTAAACTTTGAAATTGATAAACTTAATGGGTTTTACTCTAAATAACAAAAATAATCTATTGTGAGAGATGACTACCGAAAACTTATTGAACTGTCTGAAATATTTTTGGGAGGACATCAAGAAAAGAATTTTATAAAAAGCTGAAATTTCATATAACAGTTTATTTTAGCAATACTAAATAATATATTTAAGGGGTAAAATCAACTAAATTAGTGAAACAAATGATAGAAATAAAAGCAATAATATTAATTAGTAATCATATTTAATAAAATCATTAGAAAAATACAGTCATGAAGTATATTTTCTTTTTAAAGTGTTTCGTGTTACAAAATACCGCGCGCGCCTAGCGTTGGCTAACGGAGGGTTTAGATGCCAGTCGGCACGGGTTCCCGTTTATAGAATGAGCTGAAATTTTTACTGGGAGTATATAAACAAGTAATAAATATAATTAGAGGGTATGCGTAAAAAAAATAAAAATAAGGGACACCCTAGTATATATAGATACATAAGTATCGGTATCGTATCGACCAAAACGCGTATCGATGCATCCCTAATTTAATATAACATTTTCAATATCGATAAAAGACTTAAATATACATACAATGTAATTTTTAATAATAAAGAAAGATAGTAGGTATAGAACAGTAGTGCGCAGTACTAATTACATATAATAATTGCTCATTTGTGCCAAAAGACTTTTTGCTCCCTTCAATATATTGCTGTAAGTAAAATGAATAAACAACTTTATAAAACACAAACGGGACAATTTCTATAAGAATGAACTTTTTTCGCCATCATACTATAGCAAATATATTTACTAAGCCCATTATTCGTGTCCCTATTTGTGCCTTTTAAAGTGGTCCAGAATTATCATTCTGTGATCTAGCAGAGATCTATCACAGTGACAGAATAAAATACGATACCCATTTAAGAAATAACGTGTATTGTTTAGTGGGAGTAGGATTAGGTAAACATTTAAAGTGCAACTATAGATATCTTAATAACAAGAAACAGTTAAAATTTATAGTAGAAAATCAGTCTCATTTACAAGCCTTTTTAAAAGCTTTATCCGACAAAGATAAGCTTTATTCTTTTTTAGTTATTATTATTTCTTTTATGAATTTATGGACGAGGTTATATACAACTTTTTAATTTAAGGTTTACGTACTTTATTTAATTTGTTTAAATTGTCATCACTAAATTTCGCAATAGTTTACGAGCATTTTCTTTTAGCCTATAAAGCATATAAAGATTAAAATCCATTATTGTTGTGAAATTTAGTAATAATATTAACAACATAAAGGTTATTAAAAATGCATGTGCAACAATAACAATAACGTAGGTATTGAGCATAAAAATTGATTCGATTATAATCACGTTTAAAATATTGCGATCAATTAATTATAATGATTGTTCGATGTTTAGAATATTTTTATCGTTTATTTCGTTTAAAATATCAGTACTTCAAATATATTAATGGTAATAATTATTTTTATTTAGATTCAATCATATTTACCAGGTATCTATCTAATTTTAATAGCTATATAAATTCTAGTTAAATACTAAGATGCATTTAAGATTTGTCTACATTTAAAATTTCTATTTTAGTATATAGGTAAAAAATATATTCTTTTTTTACCTAAACTTGCACATGCTACGGAGTTCTTAAAGAACCACCGTTGTTCCTTGTTTTCTATAAAACTTACTTAACTAACTTTTAATTTTGAAATATGTTTTTACTTAATTTCATGATTAAAATGAAATTTTCCAAATAAAAATAACTATTTCATTTCCATACATTTAAACAAAACCAATTTAGTCCGAATGGCCATTCCCAGTGATGACAACCTTTTTCCACGATTTATCGTCGGGCTGAAGAAGGTATTCACCGCGTTTGTATTTGATTCTTCGAGTTTTAGCTGAATTGTTGACTTGCAACTTTCCAATACTGCTGCTTTTTCGGATTTCCACCTTGGAACCCGACCTCGAGGAGCTCAGCAAGGGCGAAGTGGCCCTGGGGGACTCTTCGCCACTGTCCAGGCTATCCGAAGGACTTACCGTGCGTTCTCGTCGCTTTAAACTTAATTCCAGTCTTCTTAAGAATCTTAAATTAAAACCCAGGTTAACTATTTTTAATAAGATTTAACAGTTTAGAAGATTATAATTTCTAAATGTAGTACCGTAATACGAAATAGATTCAATTAAATCTCTTTTTACGGTATTACATTTAGAAATTATAATATTCTAAACTTGTTTAAAAAATCATAACTTTAAATTTAAATTTGTTTTACGTATAAAATAAACTAATTACATGTTATGCATGTCTAAGTTCTAAAATTAGCTTTTTTAAAATTTTATTACTTGACAAAGACAGTTCTGGGCATACAACATTTTATCTTTAACACTTTTAACTTTTAACAATTTTATTTATTAAACGATACATTACACGTTCAAATAAAGTAATAATTATTAAAAGTAAAAAGTGAGGTTGAATAGATCTGACAGAAGTCAATTTTTTTTGCATTGATAATCGAAGACCATGATATTCCTATGTATTTTCGCTGAATCTGATTCTGAAATTTAACCCCTACCTACACGTCTGAATTTTTTAGTAGGGGTTAAACTTGTTTAAATTAAACCTTGGTATTTAACTGAGTTCAGATTTAGATTCAGCGGGCGAAAGTACATCCTATAGGAATATAGGAAAATACATTTAAGTATACATCATATAGGAATATCATGGTCTTATTTATGCCGCATAGTTTTTTTGTTATGGATTATAAAGGCAAAAAATAAAAAACATAATAAAAAACTAGATTGCACCGTTTTTCCACCAATGACCAGCCTTAATTTTTTTTAAATGAACAATAGTTTTTTACATTTCTTAAGTAAATCGTATCAATAGGTACCTACATGTACATAGAATAGGTACTTTAATAAAAAACTATTTTTTTTGAAACTTGAAAATCTCACAATAATATGTTTTCAAATTTTTTTTGATATTGTTTTTATTAAACGTGTAAAAAAGTAGGTAACGTAACTTTTCCAAAATTAATATCTCCCAAACTCTTCGACAAAAAAAATTAAAAAAATTATAGAGGCTAGTCTCACTCAGTACTGAAACATAAAAAAAATCGAAACAATCAAAGATGCACAAGTACAATGGGATCCATATATTATATTTTATAAAAATGTATATTATATTTTAAATTATAATTTTTATTATTAATATATTATATCTGTATATATTTTATATTTTATAAGGCTGGTTCAAAAATCGACTATTTTGTTTTCTAAAATTTCGCACTGAAATATTTTCACGGTACCAAAACACCTGTGAAAACCGGAGCTCTTAATTTTAATATTTAGAGGTCGCGCATCCAGAATTTCTATTTTCCATTTAAATAACATGGGAATTTTTTTTGTTTTTTTGTAATTTTCTAGATCACAAACTAATTAACAGATTTTTATGCGCGATATATATTTTTGTGGGAAATCCTATCATTTTTGATAAACCAACGAGTTCAAAGTCGAAGTTAAATTTATGTCATAATTGCATTTTTTACTTCAATTTTAGGCAAATTCATTATAAAGTTATTATCAAATACTATGTTCAATAAGCCTTTTAACACTGAAACACGTACTATTTCTGGAAAGAATTCATTAAAAAGGATTTTAATCAATCAAAAAGAATTTTTGTCACGACCACTATGTAAAAGTCACATTTCATATTGACATCAATGATTAGAAAATAAATATTTTCATTGGCAAGGCAAAACACGAATGTAAAGTGACATTTCTGTGTGAAAAGAAATTGACAGCATCGTTTGACATTCGTTTCAAATTTTGTATTGCAATACATGTATTTGTATATGTATGTCTAAATATCATTTAGAACACAATTAATTGTGTTGTATAATAAATTCTAGTTTTTAGTGCCTTTATTTAAATTGAGAAGGTAAGTTTACTGATTTTAAGTAACTTATACCTTAAAAATTAAAAGAATAAGATTAAAGAATTTTAACAGTTGTCAAACACGTTTTTAGCTTATTTTGTTTTGTATTTGAATATAATAAAAAATAAAAGGTTCGGAGAAAAAACATTGTGTTTCACTTGTGAGAAAAGCTTTCTTCAAGCTCGTGTTAATGCACACTCGGCCTAACGGCCTCGTGGGCAACTTAAACACTCGCATGAAAAAGTCGCTTTTCAACACTTGTAAAACAAATAACTATTATATATGGAATGACATATAAAGTGTTACAGAATGAAATATTATATCATCGGATGACGGAATAAACACTGGTGGCGACATCTCTGTTTTTAATATCTAACAAATTTTAGACCGATCCAATCTCACTTTCTCCCAATTAAATTATTTTTCTATGGTATTTTTTGGAAACGTAGAAAAAGTATAGTCTAGTATTCCAAACTTGTTACAGAATATACTATTAATCAATCAAAAAGGATTTTAATAAATTCTTTCCAGAAATTGTAGGTTTTTCAGTGGAATTAATTTAAAAGGTTTATGAAACATGGTAATTTTGATTAAAAAAAACGCAAAAACACGTCAATTTTAGTTTTGAGGGGCGTCTTTTTCAATAGATTTTACTTGCAAATTGCTTCACCCCTTCGCGCAGGAGACAAAACCCTTAAAATTTTAAGGCATGATAGGGCAAGTGATACCTCAAGGTTGTGCTCCACTGAGTGAGTACCTATCATAACAAAATTATTCAAATTCTATGCATTCGTTTTCAAGATATTTACAATTAAAGTTGCAACAGCACACCTCGTTTCTTATTCAAATAAAAAAGTTCAGATAAGGAATTTTTGGTAGAAAAACTGATAATAGTAGAGAAAAAAATATACTATCTATAGCAAAAGATGCTCCCCTCGAAACTAAAGTTAACGTGTCTTTACGTTTTTTAAAATATTTTATCTACTCCTATTGCATAATTTTGGTGTTTTTCCGTGAATATTGTTAAAAATTGGTAAAAAGTAAGGTTAAGCATTTGACAGATGTCAGATTTTATTTATTTAATTTTGAAAATCATTTAATTATCTACTTATTGGAGTAGATAAAGTATAGTATTACACTCGAGATTATGCCCAATATTCACTCGGATGATTTAGGTCTCTCGTCAAGCGACTCGAGACGTAAACCTCATCCTCGTGAATATTAGCCTGCATTATCTCTCGTATAATAATATACTATTGTTAAACTGTCACCTCAGTTACCTAAAACCTACAATTTAAAAATTATATAAGGGTTACTCGTACCCACAGGATATTTATGTTGTATTAAGATGCATGCATGCCTATTTAGTTTATAATTATTGCTTTCTTTGGAAAATAAAATTACGTTTTCGTATACTTGATTTTTAAAACGTTAAATATAAAATCCAAAATATTTAGTGTAGCAAAAAATATAGACAATATAATAATCAATTTACCATAGTATAGATATAATATATTATAAATTAAAATAGCCTTTTCTTATTGTTAATTATAATATGGTTTTGCTTGTTATGCTTTTGCACGCTAATCCGGCCAAAAATTAATTAAATTTTCTGAACAGTAGGTATTTAAAATTTTAAAATCAATATGTACCTTATTTGATGGCTTATGGCACGAAGTCTACTAATTTTCTGATGTTTTGCATTTTGATGCGGTTTTGGCAACATCATTGCATTTGCGTCCTATAAAAAAGAAAACAAGAACATTAAAAATTAAAATTAAATTTTAAAAATTTAACAATTAGTGCACATCTCTTATCGTATCAACTAACAAAAGCATAGTTCACAGCAACTAGATAATAAAGTACGTAGGTAAGTAAATCGACAACGTCGGGAAACTACATCATCAGGAATAAATAAATGAATCATTGTCTTCCATCTAGAAACATGCAAATATTTTAAACAAATTTACAAACGTCAACAGCCTGCAAATGAACTTACATCACATGTTTCTTCGCTGGAGGCTTCATGTGATTTTTGACTTTTTTCATCTAACCAGTTAACAGGTGAAGACCATCGGATAGTGTCCGGGCTGGGACTTGACGACGATAGTCTTATTTCCCGTGCAGAATTAATACTGTCAGAACTTGAAGATGAACTAACTACTTGAGAACGAACCACACGTCTTTTAGGACTTAATTTCCTAGGCGCCGGTACTTTATAATATGAGTCTTTGGTAGGAACGTCTAAATGATTATGTAATAGTAATGATTGAAAGGGTTTGGTGGGACTGGGGGTTTTACAATTACGAAGTAGTTTCTTATCCCGTTTTTTACTTGTCTTTTTATGCTGTGAGACTGTTGTAACATTTACCTTATCAGAACTAGGGAAGTCGTAGAGACCGTCCGAGTCGGTAAAAGGCAGCAAGTCTTTGTTGCGTCCATAGAATTGCGGCGAGAATCTAGATACTCCTGTCATGCGATCACTGAGTGGGCTCTCGCTGCGGGAGCTCATTGGACTCAACATCTTTTCACCACCTGGAGAGTCGCATTGGACAACTATAGAAGGCAACTGCAGAGAATTTTTAAAGTTGCACCCGCCTGGCGGTGGTGGCAACAAACGATCTATCGTAATATCCAGGCTCACACTTTTGGCTGCTCGCGGGGGAGCCAACATCGGCACATCGCATACTGTTTTTGAACTATCACTATCATTACCAATAAAAACTTCTAGTTCCTTAGCGCTTTTGACTTCACCATCTTCGATTTTTTCATCAAGATGATCTGTTCCAATTCCCTCATCATTACTTTCTAAAAGTGGATCATCGGATAAAGTTTCGGAATCCGACCTACCTCTACGTTGATCCTCGGTTTTGTTTTTATTTTCACTATCTTCAGTTGTACTGCTTGGTTTTAGAATTGGGGTTAGGGACATTCTTCTTTGCGAACCACCTGGCCCTGGATCCTCCATTTCAGACGGACATAAAGGATTGCTTGAACCACACCGTGAGGGACCTGGACTAGCCATGGAACTGTATCCAGATGAGCTTAGATTTGATTCAGATGCATTATGATCTCCCCTTGCAACCATGGAAAATGGACTAAGATAAGACATTCCACTTGGTCCCACACCAAGATGACCTGCAGCTTTAACGGCTGGAGAAATTGAATCTATATCGGACTCTGCTTCGCTCATGTTACAAGTAATAGTAATCATTGGTGGTGCGCAGGGTAGGTCTAAAGATGTAGGTTTATCAAAATCTTTATACATTTTACGGGTTTGTTTGGGAGAGGGAAATTGGAAACAACTTTCTTTAAAAGATCTGGGAGGTGGCGAACCAGGAAATAATGCTGACGGGGCAACTGTATGTGTTGGTGATGGTGTCTGAATTATAAGTATTGGTATTTCCAATGGTGGTGGCTGCACTGTTATTTTTATATTTCCCCCAGATATATCGGACAATTGTCCAAGTGGAGGAGGACGTTGATTCTAGAAAATATAACATAATAAAATAGAAATGATAACAATTAAAAAAAAACTGCAAATAAAAGTAATAAAACTTCTTCAATTATTCTGAAGAGATTTATGTCTATTTTAAGGTTTTAAAAAAGTTATATATATATATATATATATATAGGAGGGTAGCACTGAGTTTAATTTTTAGAAAATTTACAAAAAACAAATGGCTTTATTGTTTTAAAGCATTTGCCTTCAAGATCTACACACTTTGCAAAAACTTGAATAAGGCATTAGGTAATAATGTAGGAGAATACGCACAATCTCATAATGAGACATTAATTCGATGTTGGTTTTTATATAATCGTTTTTTTAAACAAATTGTCAATCAATTATCCTTAATAGTTCTTCGATCCTCCAATACCACAGTAGCAACTCGATTTTATGAAGAAAATTGTGATAAATTTTTCTGTGTTTTGTATTTCGTAACACCTAAACAGTTGACGTTTGAATTCTGGCTACTACATAAAGATGCAAGTTTAATAACGATAGCAAATTTAAAGCACCATTGATCCATTTTTTTGTGGTCCGTCACATTTTTACAAACAAATGTTGCAAAATTGTTTGTATTTGACAGATACAAAGATTTCCAAACTTACGGTGAGTAGTGTGTACTGTACGTATGTTTTGCTTTCCCTGAGGGAATTTCGACACCTCTTGAATTCTGCAAAGTAGTAAACAGTAGCCAGTTTAACTCGGTCGATACGTTATTGTTAAGTAATTACTTAACAATAACGTATCGATAATTATCCAAAACTGTTCACGCAGAAATTCCATGTTTGCTAAGTTTATTTGAAGCAGTGTGTAACCGAAACAAAAAAACTTAAATAGGTACTTTTTTAAAAAACTTTTAGTGCTACCCTCGTATCTAGCTTAAGTTGATATCTATCCAAAGTTCAATTTCTTAGGAATGTTATATCTAGCTTAAGTTTACATTCTTGATGAATAATAAATAAAACTAAATATTTATTTAAATGAAGGTTAATAATGAAAAAGTTATAAAGGGTGTTCAAATTTGAAGTTCGAATAAATGGCGGTTAATAATGAGGAACAGTATTTGACAATTAACATTCTCTGTCATTTTTATTATTATTTAATCAAAATTTTCAAAGATTTATTACTTATTATTTTTTGTTAATGTTATTGAACACTCTTTACCCATTGGGTACCTTAAGAGAGTAAATATCTAGCGCAATATTTATAGAAAAATATTGTAAAATACTAAAATATTTACCTTTATCCTGTAAAAAGAATTTTGTTGCATTGCTGCAGCTTCTTCCAGAATAAGACCATCTTCTGCTTGCGGATCAATTACAATATCAGTGCAATCTAACTCGTCTTCGTCCAGATCGCTACAGTTTATAGATATGTTTGGCAAATCGATAGATATCCTGTCGTCACTAATATCCGCATCTTCTATGGAAGAAGATGCCGTGCTTCTTCTCATGATTGGAGTAAAAGCGGGAGACGGCATGGGCGAGGGCAAAGGAGTGGGCATCTCTCGTATTGGAGAAAGGCACTTATTGATTGTGCTTGGTATTTCTAATAGTATAGTGGGTGGATGCAGGAAATTGCTTCCGCTATTAGGGGACTTGTGCGCACTAAGAGTATCAAGGACTGGAACTTCAATTGAATTATTGTTTTGATTGCTGCGGTGCATTATTGGGCTTTCTGGAGGTCCACTCGAGAAGGAAACTGGCGTTGGAATCGATGAGGTAGAAGACTCATCATCTCCGGCGATGTCGTCTTGTGGACTAGAAGCGGTAGGTGTGGTTGAAGGAGAAACTCGTAAAGAAGAAGGTAAATTTGCACTCGCAGAGCTTGAGGAGAAATTTTTAAACATTGCGAGAATTGAATCTGCACTTGCAGGTTTCTGACGACCATTCGGCAGTCGACTATGACGCCGGTTGTTAAGGAGATCTGAAATACTAGAGCTGAACACCGATATCGCAAAATCAGAGCTAGTGAGCGAATCACTACCTTGATTGCTGGAAGTGCTATTTGGAGACCTTACATCAACGGTTGGAGATGGTGGAGTACTGGAGGGCCGCGCGAACATGCATCCTAGTTTATTAGTTTGCATAATACCGAGCTCAATGTCTGACCCGGAACTCATTTCGGCTGAAACTTTATTTAACAACCGGGCAAAAGTAACTTTTTTCTCAAGTTTAGGGTCATTTAGTGCAGATTGGACTGGATCTGACTCTAAAAATTTTGTTTCTAATACGGCTGTGGGAGAATTATCTAATAATAGATCTTCACCTCCTTTGGGTGCTCTTTCAGTCATTTGTATTAATTCTCCTAAACTTACTTTCCTTGAACTGTGTTTGTTTCCTGGGGATATTAAGTGTTGCAGTATTTGCTTCTTTTCTGCAACGTTTTTCTTTGAAGGGGTCGAGTTATTTCGTTTCTTTTTCGGCGACGGGGAACCTAAATAATATCATATGATAATTTATGAGAGATCGTGTACGTGCAATTTGTTAGACCGCACTTTATTTACTATTGTATAAAGCAGTCAATTTTTAAGGCCTGGTAAACAGCTGTGTTGTTTAATTTAAAGATTCCTTATTCTAATAAATTTAAGTGGCAATATTGTAAGAAATGCATGTTCGAAAACGTTTTTCTTTATATATCTAAAAACAAGTTTAAATTAGTCTCTATTTTATATGGACATCACAAAGCATGCATTTAAAAAAGTTTATTTGGCCTTATAGTTAAATTTACCACCTTTGGTTGATGTATTAAATAATGCAAAACATCAAATAAACTTCTTTTTTCTAAAATTTTTCTGTATTATACCCTTATCTAATGAATTAAGTGAATTAAACAACACACTGTGTATTATAATGATATGAATGCTTATGTATGTACATATGTTTTTGTGCTGTATGTACAATAGCTATTGTGCGACCAAAATTATTACAAAACATACTGTGCAACCTACCAGCCACACGCAATAGAGTGTAGGAAAGGAATATTCGGAGCTACAAAACAGAGAAGAAAGAAGTTATATGTATAGTACGAAACTGTATTTAAGCCATTTCACAAATGTGTTGACTAAGTAGGTAGTCGTTTAATTGATTACACATTTATTTATAAACTATAGTTATATAGTTTAATGAAGAATATGGAGACAGGTAGTGGGAGGATTGACAAAGATGTTTGTTATTTAGTTTCAGTGCAATGAAAAACATGTAATCAATTAAGTTTTAGGACCACAAAGCTGTGTCGTCGAATGGGTTAGTAAGAAGCTCATAGTGTGAGCGGAAAAACAGATAATATTGATAAAACATAGTAAAATAAATAAATGCGTTGACAATTACAGCTCAGGCACTGGGCCTTACGTCTCGGGGGAGGTTTTAGCAAGTCGTCGAGACTAAAGGTTCTGGCCGTGGCGGGAACGTAACCGCTGGCGTGTGGACTGGTCAGGCTGAGGATGGATGGCTTGCGGATACCCAGGCGGCCAAATAGCGAGCGGGGTGCCCCCGGACCTGGACTAGGAGCAACTGGAACTGTAGATCCTCCTGTCGCAGCTGCTGAAGCGGCTGCCAGCTGCTCACGAACTGAAGTGCTTCTCAGTGATGACACTGAAACATTCAAAACTAACCTAGATCGTTTAACGTTTTAGTAAAATCATAATGAATATTTTCCTTATAGTTGATCTGTTTGTATTTAATTAAGACGTAAATTTTGAAAAATATTCTTAGTTTTGTTTACTGCTGGCTGTTGACTATATTACCATTCAAAGAAATTGTAAAAGAAAAGTAAAAAAAGCAGCACTTTGCAACACTAAGAAGAGTATACCAGTATATTTAAATATATGCCGCCTTTTTATTGTCGCTCCTAATAAAAGGAAATGTAAGAAAACTAACTACTTCAGCAAATCTAAATAGTAGAGGTAAAAACCCTAGACTAATAAAAGTTCTTGAAAGCAGCAGTTGGCAAAAGTTTTAACTCTAAAATGCCCGCGCTGACAGCATCAACTAAAGTTTATTATAACAAAAAACAAATCGTAAACAGGAAACAACTTACTGGTGCTCCTGTTTCGGTCGTTGTCCTCTGCAAGCAGTTTCTCTATTTTCTCGGGAAAGTGCCTCTTAGCACACCAAACGAGTCCGATCACCCCCATTACGAAAAACACCGTCATCAGACCAAGCCAGAACGGTTCGTGAAACATCCGCTCGCTGAGAGGCTGGAACAAATCCTTTTATTTAGATTTTCTACAACGATACCTAAATTATTATTACAATATATTATATTGTAATCACAATTTAAGATCTATCTATAGGTTAATCAAAGCTTATATAAAATATAATGTGACTTATACATGGACTAATAAATATGTTGTTAGTAAAAAAAAATTTAAATTTCGGATGTGGTGTCCGAAATTGGGAGCCCAATTTTAAATTTGCAAAAATTGCAATTACTACAAAAACCTCTTTTTTGTAAACATTTTTTGTAATAAAAATGTTTTGATATTAAAATTTGTTTCTTTGCAATGCATTGTATACTAGCCAATAGATAAAGCATTAAAACATTATTTTATCTAAAAATTTTTGATTATTTTGAAAAAGTATCTGAAATTAGGCGACTTTCCTCTACATATTTTTTTTAAATGGCAACATTGCTTACTAATAAATTGGTAAATTTATTCTTAATTATCCTATTTTACGTCAGATTTAACAGTATCAAATACAGAGACTTTCTGTCAGGAAATTATAAAACCATAGATTAAATCGATGAAAAAAAACTTACCAAATATTAACATCAAATTGACACACACATACAGGCTAAATGACTTGCATTTTTTAAGCATTCTCCAAACACAATATACATACTATTGAAGAATACATATCAATATTTAATTACGCTCTCATATCATTTTAAATCGCCTTATACTGATCTCCCAGAGTTATTTTTACCAACTTTCAGTTCTCGCAACTGCACACACAGAAAAAAATCTAACATAGTACCAAGAACAGCGCCGTCATTGAATGCATTAAAATTAAAGCAATCTAAATTGTTATTTGCTCAATTAATTACTATTAAACCAAAATAGGGAAATATTTTGCCTAAATGTCAAGGATTTTATTGCGTTAAATGTATACATAGTATATATACAATAGTAACGTTATTAAATAAATCAAATTAGTATTTAATGCAATAACATTCTAACATTCTAACAAATAAATATCGATATGAATATCAATAGATTTAGGAGCGATAACTTTTGTTGTTAATTTAAAAACAGTAAACGATTATAAACCAAGTGCTAACTACCTATTGGTATTATAGAAACTGTTATTCAGGAATACGGATTACAAGATCCCATTGGTTTAATGGCTCACCCATTCATGCTATGCTAGCGTTTTTTCTGTGAAGCATTACCTGTGTTTGATGGATCCGAATTTTTACCTAGGCTGGTAATCTGTCTTGGGAGGTCGTAGATGAAAGTTTCGATGGTTGAGGCCCTTCCCGGAATGTAGGCTAGTGGAGTGCGGGACAAGGAGGTAAAACATTTTGGTTTTTGGGGGACGTTGGACTGATAAAACTAAGTACAATCCGGAATCCCCTCAAACAGGGATTTGGTAATATCCTCATTCAATTGGGGTTTATGGATATGGCTTGGTTGGTTAGTACGTTGCAGGGACATATCCTTGCTGGTCTTGTAATACTTCCTGTTCGTCGGCGTTTATGTCCGAGTCAGATTCAGAAACTTGGTACAGTGTTTTGTGGGTGCTAATATGTTCCCATCGATCTCGGTCGATTTGTGAGAAACGAATCGTCTGTGCGAGGGTGTCGTGGAAGCTGTAGCATGGTCTACCGAATTTTTTGTCAATGAGATCGAGTCTTCCTGTGGCTTTTGGTATATGGTTCCGTCGTCTGCGATTGACATGCGCCCAATGTTTTAGTTGTGCCATCCTGACACGTTTGGTAATTGTTTTTCTTTTTAGAAGGACTCTGGGCGATTGGCTCTGTATGTCTGATGGTTCAGTCATAAGCAAAGTAAGTATTTTTCGTTCGAATTTGCGAAGTATTCGCCGGTTTCCTTTCGTTAGAGCGCTTGTGTTTAGTGCGTAAATCAACGTGGTGACGATCACGGTTGTGTAAATCACGGTAGACAGTCGTTTTATCCATATAATACATATTAGGGTGATTCATTTCCGCAAAGTTTTTTTTTTTTTTCGGTGCTCAAGCAAAATATTAATATTCCAAAAAAAAAAAAATTTCACTAAAAGTTATTGTTGTAGAGAATTATATCGATAGTAAATAAGAAAGTTTAATTTAAATAGCATAATTGGTTAATATTAATCAATTACTTACGTTTTAAGATATAAAAATGGCCCTAAATTCATTAAATATTTGTTAAAAGACTATTTTTTACGATTCAGCTCTTTTTTTTAACTATTTTTTTCGAATTGTTAAAAAAAATTGCAAAAAAAAATGTTCATTCAAAAAATTGAACTTTGATGACTCCTACTGGCGAACCACTACGAGTTACACAAAAAAACATTTTTTTTACATTACTTTAAATTTAAACTGCAAGTACTTAAAATTGATATTAAGAGCTCTACCTTGGTGAAATTTTTTTTTCTATAGGTTGATTAATATTTTGCTTGAGCGCCGAAATGAATTACCCTAATACATATACATATAAAAAATAATCGGTTTAAAATTTCCTTTATTAAAAAAATACTTTCTTAAACATCAAGTTTTATAAATTACGTTCGGGAATTCATAAGTTGACTTTAAACATGGGCGCTGAAAAAAAAGTGTCGCTTGTGTTTAGTGCGTAAATCAACATGGTGACGATCACGGTTGTGTAAATCACGGTAGACAGTCGTTTTATCCATATAATACATTTACATATAAAAAATAATCGGTTTAAAATTTCCCTTATTAAAAAAAAATACTTTCTTAAAAATCAAGTTTTATAAATTACGTTCGGGAATTCATAAGTTGACTTTAAAGCATGGGCGCTAAAAAAAAAGTGTCGCTTTTTTTAAACTCCGCATGCTTTGACGATATAATGAACGGTCAGCTTGGGACAAATAAAATGTATATTGGTAAATGGTGTTTTTTTAAGAATGATAGAACTTCTGATCGCAATTGCTTTGGAATCAGCTGTCATTTTGCATGCTATTAGTAATATTTGTATTTAGTATAGTGTGGCAAATTATTATGAATATACTCACGCTTGGACAACGTTATCAAATTATCAAAATTTACTTTGAAAGTTATTTCTCGATACGCGAAACACATAGACGACTTTGCACATAATCGTCCATCTGAGCAAGCCATACATTGCATTGTGGATAAATTTAGAACCACACACTCTCTAAAGGATGCGTAAACACGATTAGGTCAAAGGAATGTGCGTACTGAAGAAAATATTGCTACTGTAAACGAAAGTGTGCAGGAAAATTCGAAATTATCGATTTGTCGTCGATCGGAGCAGTTGGGACTTTGTCTGTCCACTACGTAGATAATTTTGCGCAAAGATTTTTTGCTACAAGCCGTTCTTTCACTGATTGGGCTTTAGAGCAGTTACAAGCTGACTCATTGCTTTATAGCAAAATTGTGTTTAGCGATGAGGCACATTTTTGGCTCAACGGGTTTGTTAATAAGCAGAATTGACGGATATGGAGTAATGCAAATCTAGAAGAGATCCTACAGACCCCATCTCATTCAGAAAAATGTATGTTTGGTTTAGACGCTGGTGGCTTGATCAGACCTTATTTCTTTAAAAATTAGTCTGAAGTTAACGTAACAGCTAGTAGGGAACGTTACCAGACCATGATAAACGAATATTTCCTTTAAAATATGGATGGCATTGATCTGGAAGAGATGTGGATGCAGCAGGATGGCTCTACGTGGCATACGGCGAACGGAACCATCAAATTATTGCAAACAAGATTTGGTGATAAGTTAATTTCAACTGTCCACCCAAGTCTTGTGATTTGACGCCTCTCTATTATTTTCCATAGGGCTACGTGAAGTCATTGGTTTATGCTAATAATCCAATACTGGAAGCCTTGAAAGCTGTGAAAGCGTGTGATTCAAAACATACGGCTACCATTGCTCGAAAGAGTGACCCAAAATTGGACTGACATAATGCTCTTCGTCAGAAACAGCCGTGGTGGTCATATGATTCACATGATTTTTAAATATTAATGCCATGTGTTGATCTTTCAAATAAAAACAATCAAAAGTTAATTTGTGAGGTTCTTATTTAAGTATAAAGTTCTATCGTTCTTATTTTCTCAAGTATACCTACTATTTCAAATTAAATAAAATGAACTTATTAGTAATAATTTATGACCAATATAAAACGTGCGAATTTCTTAATAACATATATTGTTACATTATGTAAAAATTTCCAAGTCGCGTACATAATTCAGTGGATAATATTGGGTACTCGGGAAAAGATGTCGTCGATTTTCCTCAAATTAAAAAAAGGGAAGAACCCAACGCATGTAGCTTAAAATAGTTTATGGTATTGTGCTTGTTTTTGTTTAGAACATTTTTGTCACCGAAAATTATTAAAAAAGTTGAGCATAATAAGAATCGGTACCAATTCGGTTACCTATAAATTAAAATAAATGCTAAAATTTTAAAACTAATAAAAAACAAAATAAGTGTAGAAGCATTTGTATTCGAAATTCAAAATGTTTATTTTGATATTTAAAATAAAATTCTCTAAAATATCTCTAGAAATATCACCAAAAATTCAAAAAGATCTGAAGTTCGCCGAGTGAACGGCACTTAGCATTTAATAATAATAATAATAATAATTTATTTGTTGTAAAGAAACATAATACATTTCATTTTAAAAGTATAAAGAGAAATATACAAAACTAATCTGATACAATAAAATGGACTGGAAGGCAGACTAATCTGATTGTAATTCCAGCCCAAAACAAATTTAAAAACAAAAAGAAACAAAATTAATATAGGTCCATGACTATTTTAAAATAAAAATTAATGTAGAAAGAGGTTTTAACGACAAAGTGGTTTTTCAGGAAATAGTGGTTTTTACAAAAGCTTGTTAAGTATCAACCTTTTTAAAGCAGATTTAAAAGGTTTTAATTTCCGAGTCTTAAGATGTGCGGGTAGGTCATTGTATATGGCATAAACGTTATATGAAAAGGATCGTCTAAATATTGCAGTTGTATGGACAGGTGGGGATATTAGGCCTTTGAATCTTAAATTTAAGCTGTGAACATCGGTACGGTATTGAATTTTCCTATGTAAGTATGGTGGTGTTTTACTTGTTATTATGGAGTGAAACAGTGTTGCCGAATGAAGTGTTCGTCTTTCTTCCATATTTAGCCATTTTGCGTCTAACAATTTGTAAGATACTGCATTAAATTTCCTTATACCATAAATATATCTTAAACATGATTTCTGAATGTACTGTATACGATTTACATTTCTTTTATCTATACAGGGACCATACAGTACATCACCATAATTGAAGTAGCTAAGAACCAAAGTGTCAGTTAATCTAATTTTAAGCTCTTGTGATAATATTTGGCAGTGAGGATAAAGAATTTTTAATGCACTGTAAGCCTTTTTTAGACAATTAGTAACATAATTGTCAAATCGTAAATTACAGTCAATTTCGATACCCAGGTTCTTAGCCACCTTACTGGTTGTCAGATCATTTCCATCGATTTGTATTTTAATTAAGTTTGAGATTAAGTGTTTTTGCCTACCAAATATAAGAACTGAGGATTTTAGTGAATTTATACATAACTGGTGATTGTTGGATAGTTTGACTAATGCGTTTAGGTCGTCATTTATGCGAGAGTTAGCCAACAATAAGTTGTCTGGTTCGAAAGAATACATTAACTGTGTATCATCTGCGTATAAAAATGCTTTGCAGAATTTTAAACATTTAGTTAATTCGCATGTAACTAAAAAGTAATGGACCCAGAATAGACCCTTGCGGCACACCACATTTTATTTGAGTTTTTCTGGATTAACCCTTGTCAGTTTGCACATATTGGACTCTGTTAGTTAAGTAACTTTTTATTAGATTAATGGAGGAATAAGAGAATCCAATATAATGCAAGATGGAATATAATATTTCATGGCTAATGGTATCAAATGCCTTTGAGTAATCCAGAAGAATTAGACAAACAGTTTTACCTTTATCAATATCTCTTATGATATCATCGACTACGTCTAGGAGGGCAGTTGTGCAACTGTATCCTTGGCGAAACCCTGATTGGAATGCCGGTAGTATATTAAATGTATTTAGATGTTTACGAATTTGGATATTCATTATTTTTTCCAATACCTTTTAAGTACCGGTAAAATGGAAATAGGACGCAGCTCATTAAAATTCGTTATTTCTGTTTTCTTTGGCAATGGAACTACTCTGGATTCCTTCCATTGGTCAGGAAAATAACTTCCAAGAAGACATGAATTTATTATGTGTGTTAAATAAGGCAATATAGTTGACAGGCACAATTTAATCATGTCAATACTCAACTTATCAGATCCAACCGATTTTGTGGTAATATTATTTATACAAGTTTTAATTTCATCTTCAGTTGTTAGGGAAAAACTAAATAAATCTACAAAATTTTGCTTTAAATTTGCGTTGTAATAACTTAAAAGATCTAAATTTGGAGGTGTATATTTGGAGTATTGCGATAAATGATTATTTATTTCCTCAGGTTTATTTAAATTATCTGGTAGGGTTTTAGATTTAGGTTTCTTGTGAATATTTAAATCGCCTAACTTATTCCAAAGGACCCGGCTGTTGTTACGATAATTATTTTATAATTTAGGTATATATAAATATATACTAAAAATGGTGATACCATTTCTTTAAGTTTTTTGTTAGGTACTAAAGTTATAAGTTATAACTAAAAATATCAATAGAATATGTACAAAACAAGCTTACAAAGTTTTTTAATTACAATGTTTGGGTACGAAAAGACGTTTTTGTCAATAGTACATTTATATTGTTTATATTGTAATATTCACATTACTGCATGGTAATAGAAAATAATATTAAATTGCTATAATACTAAAATACTTAAGTAAGGTAATTACCTTCAAATATTAATAGTATCCTTGTTTAACTAACTAAGAATTTAATAATAACGCTACTATGAAAATTTTTTGACAGTTAAATTTTGTTATTTTTTGTCATGTGACACAAATTACCCAATCATGTCATCATTTAAATGATAAAAACATTCAGGAATGTTTTCAATCACCATGACTCCAAGACTGTCAACTTAAATTTTAAATAAATTTTAAAATGTCACGTTTTAGCAATGCAAATTTTCAATCTATTAACGCGCTAATTATAATTTTTTATAAAGAAAAAAATTCGAAAAAAACACAAATACCTACACTTGGCAAATATTTTGTGGGTTATGGTAAATTAACCTTAAAATTGAAATTTGATGATTTTAATCTGTATAAAAAGCGCAAACTCAAAGCACAAGAATTGTAAACAATATAAAAATGGCCGCCGTTTAAATCTGTGCAGTGTTGCAGTGATTTTTAGTATACGCGAAACGAGAGGTGCGTTCTTTTTGCCTGAGATCTCAGTTAATCTCAGCTCACATCGGTAAAATTTACAAATGTGCGCTTTATTTTTGCTCATTCACCATAAACTGAGCTGAGATTTTTCCTCCCTCTCACCTATACTGCACATGCTTTGCGGGGGAATCAGTTTGAATTAAGTCGGAAATAAAGTGGAGGGGATAAAGAAATTATTGATTTCTTAAGTTTTTAAATAACATAACCTAATCTTATTTAGGTAATTTTTTGCAATAAAATTTAAATTTCCATAAAAATAATTAAATTTTGTAAATTAGCTATAAACTTGATTTAATAAATATACCTACCTAATTCGAATAAAATTGCTTTTCAGAACGAGAAAAACACTTTTTACAATATAATTGAACAAAGAAAGTAAAAGTAAAGATTTTTTAAATTTAATTTTAGGTATGTCATAAAATTGTTATTTTTTACAAAAAAAATGATTTTTTGCAATAAAACTTTTACAAAAAATAATTAAATTTTGTAAATTGATTAATATAATAAATAAAATTTGAATAAAATTGTTTTTCAGAACTAGAAAAACACTTTTTACAATAAAATTAAACAAAACATATCAAAGTGAAGTTTTTTTTTTTAATTTTCATAAAATTAATATTCTTATCAAAAAATTGTTGTGTTTTTGTTTGTCACCCAATTATGGAAAAAATAAGTATTATAGATCACGAAAAGTCTTCATCTTCTTCATCAAATAAAACTTTTATTAATATTGTTGTATTATCCATAATTCAACCCAAATTTAAACATAGAAAAGCACGAAATTTAAACCAATAAGCAATAATACAGAACATAATGATATCAGAGATATGTTACCTCTTATCAGTGTTGCCAGATTTAGGCCTAAAATTCCCTATCAAGGTAGGCCCTTGATTTTAATTATTAGGCTTATTTCTCCAGGCGCTTTCTGACTCGTAAAAGATATCTATATACACCTTAAGGTCAACAACACATGTTGTGTGGATTGAAGACTGTCAACACCATAATATTATGTCAAATTAATTTTTAAATGTCAAGTTTTGGCAATGCATATTTTTAATCTATTAATTATTAGGCGCTAAACAAAGAAGAAAATACAAAAACAACCACAAACAGTCAGACATACACGTGGGGAATATGTATGGAGTTTTGCTGTGAACGAAAATATGAGTTAAATGAGCATAGAAGAACTGGCATTAATACTGAAAGATTGGCCGGTCAATATGAGGAAGAAAGATAGGATAAAATTCAAAGAAACAACAGTAAAGACTAAGGATTTAACATAATCATTTTTTAAATTAATACAAATTAGATTAAAAATTTAAAATTTTTGTTGGATCATTCTTTATTTACCTTGTATGGGATATGCATCATTCTTTTTTCACATCGTGCTCCTTCCCACCAGGCATGGCAGCGACAATAGAATCCGTCTCCTCGTTCAATACATGCGCCACGGCTCTCGCAGGGATTTCCCTCGCACGGTTTTCGTTTTTGCTCGCAAGTAGGTCCCACGTATCCTGTTTTACAGTGACATTTGTAGCTAGTATTGGTCAGTTCGCACGTCCCAAACACACATGGCTCCAACTCGCACTGAGTTAGTGCGCAAAAAATTCCTAAAATTAAAAAATAAAACAAGAATTACGTTGATATTAAATTGAATTTTAGTTCTTCTATTTAACAATAGAAACGCCAGGGAGAAAATATTGGTATTGTGGGAAATATATAGGAGAATTAAAAAGATTAATGTGCTATAATAAACATTTATTCGGCTAGCAGTAAACTTTTGCGTTGTAAGAAAATTAAAACGATAATTCAATGGAAATTGAGAAAGCGCAGCAAGAAGAAAATTATTTGACCTAGTTCTGCAGAAATCGACCAACCCACAAATTAAAATACATTTAATAATATCATTTTATAATGATTATTATTATTATTATTATTATTATTATTATAATATTATTCTGTATAGTAGGTACCTGAAAATATGCTAAATTTTAATCAGAAAAAATCCCCCAACTCAGGATCTCAAATATCACCATAATAATAAATATGATGGGAGAGAATAAATATATATAAATAAAGCATTAGGCACTTAAACATTTGAGCTAGGTAGGTATTTATTTTATCTACCTTATATTTTATTCCTAAATTTTGTGTTATATTTTCTTTTTTTAAATCTTTAGGTTTTTAGTTTGTAATTTTTTTGTTCTGACCTGTGTAAATTTATCTTTACATGTTAACATGAATAAAGATTATTATTATTGTAGCGAGTACCGCTCTGGATCTCGGAATGATGACTCATCGCCGGTGAGTCAGCGCTCGAACAATCGAGAGCGGTGTGGAGCTCGCTGGAATGTTCGAGAAGACGCTTGCGTGACTAGTGTCACGTAGGCACTGAATATATAAGGAACAGCGCAGCATGGAGCAGTCAGTAAAGCTTTGGTACTCGTGATGAAATAAATAAATATACGTGCAAATAAATAGACTCTAGTACAGTAGTGATATATAAAAAATTAGTAGTTAGGTGTTTAGTTAGTTTTATAGTGTTTTAAGTGTAATTAAGTGATAAAATAAATAGTTTAATAATAATAATTTCTTTATTAACGCAAATAATAGCAGTAACAATATATTAGTTAGTTTACAGGTACATAAAAAAAAAACAAACAACCCCCAATAAAATAAATAACTCAAAATAAATATAAATTATGTAGTATCACATCCGATTTAATTGGCGTCTATAAAATAAATAACTCCAATAAAAAAATAACTCAAAATAAATATAGATTATGTAGTATCACATCCGATTTAATTGGCGTCTAAAAGTACACATTGAAATGCCAAAAAAGTTACACTCAGACATCTCATTAACAGTCTTAGTCACACGACATATAGGCGAATTGCTAGCATACACAGTATGAAATAATGGAACTTGTAAAAGGGGATAATTTCTCAAGACTCTTGTAGGAATTTGCATAAAAAAACAAGCCAGTATCTCAGGGTCTACAATGAAATTATTAATCACTTTATAAAAAAATGTTGCATCAATATCTTTTCTTCTCTGTGTAAGTGTTTTAAGCCCCAAATACTGCCTTGTTTGATCAGTGCTTAGTGGAAGAGACAGCTTATAACGCATATAACGGATAAACTTATTCTGAATGGCCTCCAACCTATTAATGTGAACATTATAAACTGGAGACCAAATCGTAGAAGCATATTCTAGTTTAGAGCGTACCAGGGATGTAAATAGAGCCAACAGTGATCTGCATTCCCTAAAATCGACAGTCGTGCGCAGTAAGAAACCCAACATCCTGTGTGTTTTAATTCACACTACGAACAGTAAAAACGTTACAATTGGTGTCAGGAGTGCGGTTAGTGTTTAACTTCGCGAAAATGGTTTCGTTAATGGACTTAAAAGTGGCGGACCTTAAGCGAGAGCTGGAAGAAAGGGAATGTGAAACAACTGAAAAAAAGAATGTGTTGCAGCAGCGGCTTCGAGAAGCGTTGGAGCAGGAAGGTGAAAATCCAGATACGTATTTATTTGAAGGCCCGTGTAATATGCATTTAATGTTGAAAAATTTAAAAGAAAAAATGTTAGAGAATTCTAACAATTTGAAAGGTGATATAAAACAAAACATTCTAAAAAATTCGAGTTACAACAGAAAATGCTAGAAAATTCTAGTGATTTGAAAGTCGATTTTCAACAGATAATGCTGGAAAATTCTAGCAAATTACAGCAGAAAATACTGGAAAATTCTAAAAATTTAAAAGAATATTTGGAACAGAAGATTCTAGATAATGTCAATGAATTGGAAGAGAAAATGGGGTAGAAATTTGATGACGTAAGGAGGGAATTAGATACAAGAGAAGAAAAAATTAGAGAAATAAATAGTAAATTGAAAGCTGTAAATCTACCCATGATGCTGGCGGAACCAGAAACAGTGCAGGAGGGGAGCCGACTGCGGATGAAACCACCTCAGTTCGATAAAAAATCTTCTTGGACCAACTACATTCTTCAGTTTGAGGCAGCAGCAAATGGCTGGCTACCAGAAGAAAAGGCTACAGCATTGACTCTTGCTTTACGCGGAGATGCAACGGATATCTTGCAGATACTTTCTCCAAACGAACAAGAAGATTACGAAGCTTTGGTAAAACATCTGGAACTGCGATATGGACAGACACATCTGAAACATGTCTACCATTCCCAACTGAAGAATCGCTGCCAGAAATCTGAATTTGCACGCTTGGTCCGGTTAGCATATCCAGCTACTCCAACGATTAGCGGTCCAAGCCTTTTTGGATGGACTTCGGGACAACTAAACAAGACAGGCTCTGAAATTGGCTCGTCCGAGCCAACTGGTTGATGCATTGGCCCGAGCTTTGGAATTCGAGGCGGCAAAGCAGAGCTGCAGGAGCCAACCTAGAATAAGGAGAGTCGAGGAAGAGAAAGAGGAGGAACCCAGTATAATTGAAGAAATTAGGCGAGTTCTTAAAGAGAATTTACCAGAGAAGAAGGAAATCTGGCGTTGGAGATTTGAAAAGCTGGGACATATACAAAGTCGTTGCAGAGGAAGCCAGGTGGCGCCGACTTCATTTAAAAAATAAATAGGGCTGAAGATAAAGATGTGTATATTCGCAGGACTACAATCTTGGAGGATCATTGGCAATCCGCTGAGGTTCAACAAGACCAGGAAAGAGACCCGGATTTGAAGTTCATCATCGATTGGAAGAAGAACGACCGAAAACCAACGTGGCAGAAAGTCGCCCAATATTCGCCGAATGTGAAATCGTACTGGACCCAATGGAATTCCATCATTCTAAGTGACGGACTTTTCAAGCGCGTTCCAGAAGGGGGGAAAGACGGGAAGCAGTTAATAATCCCCAGAAACAGGAGACCAGAAGTGCTGCAAGAAATCCATGATAGAACTACTGGAGGACATCTTGGGGTGACGAGGACGCTTGGAAGACTTAGGGAACGGTTTTATTGGGTCAATTGTCAACGAGATGTAAAGGAATGGTGCAAGAAGTGCGCCGTTTGCGCGGCAAGCAATGGACCCCAGACGCGCCCAAAAGCTCCAATGCGATAGTACAATAAGGGCAGCCCATTTGAGAGAATTGCAATCGACGTGGCGGGTCCATTTCCTGAAACAGAATCTGGAAATAAATACATTATCGTTGTATTGGAATACTTCAGCAAGTGGGCGGAAGCGTATGCCTTGCCAAACCAGGAAGCTGCCAAAGTGGCAGATGCCCTTCTTCACTTTTTTTTCGTTTTGGTGTGCCAATGGAGATGCATTCAGACCAAGGCAGAAACTTTGAATCTATATTGTTCCAGAATGTTTGTAAGATTATAAACATTCGGAAGACGAGGACGACTGCATTACATCCGCAGTCTGATGGAATGGTAGAACGAATGAATCGAACGATAAACCGGTACCTGTCCAAGGTAGTCTCCAAGGCTCGAACAATCGAGAGCGGTGTACAGCTCGCTGGAATGTTCGAGAAGACGCTTGCGTGACTAGTGTCATGTAGGCACTGAATATATAAGGAACAGCACAGCATGCAGCAGTCAGTCTAGCTTTGGTACTCGCGACGAAATAAATAAATATACGTGCAAATAAATAGACTCTATAGAGTGATATATAAATAATTAGTAGTTAAGTGTTTAGTTAGTTTTATAGTGTTTTAAGTGTTATTAAGTGATAAAATAAATAGTTTAGTTCGTTAATAAACCAGTGCGTGTGTTAATTCACACTACGAACGGTAAAAAACGTTACATTATTATTATCATTATAATATCTATAAAGGTACACTTGAGCTGGGAAAAATTATATATAACCCATTAAGGGCGATTCCATGTATACTACCAGGACCAACCGGGACCATTAATAATGGAATCGCCGTTAATCATTTTTATTAGGAGTATGATTTAGTTTATCTATAATTAAAAATTTTATTTTATTGCGATTTCATATAAGTAAACCAAAACTTTAACCTTAATTTAAACTTTTTGAATAACTGGGTCCAATTGTTAAGATTTTAGTAAAAACTGTAAATAGACTAAAATATTATTTATTTAAGTTTTACTTGAGTACCTACCTATAATTCTATGGGATTTATAATATAATTTTCTTTGTAATTTAAATAGATACGTATACATAGATATAATGTTGATTTTGTTAATAATTATCTATAATTACTGCCTGTTATTTATACAGGATGAGTCAATAATTATTAACAAAATCAACATTAATTACACTATGATAGTTTGATTTACCAACATTGAGTACGCCCCCCTATATTACCTAATTTTGAGCTGCTGATTTCAAAAATTCCACTCGTTTTGCTCCAGGACGTCTAGGATTCGAAATAATTTCATAATAAAATGCTCTGCCCAATTATATCAAAATGTAAGTTTTTTGTTAATATTTTAATCATAATTATTTATTACATTATTTTGCCTTAAATCTATTTTGGATGTTCAGTATATTTTTTTGTCATTTAAAATACATTTTCTTTTTTATAATCTTGATAAATTTTCCGAACTGATGAATATGGAGAACGATTTCACCAAGTAACTGCAAATCTACAGCATTGGTAGATATCTAAGGGTATAGCGGAAAGAAGTTGTATTCATTGCTAGGAGACATTTGCTGGAATTCGCAGCAAAAGATGTACGATGATGATAAGGATTAAGTACAATAATACTATAATCCAATTTGATATTTGATACGATTTAATAAATTTAAGGTAGAAAGAAGCAAAATTATGCAATTCATTAAATTTTGAGGACTTAATTTGGATAAAAAACTTGTTTACTTTGTTGCCCTTTCAATTTAATAATTAAAATAAACGACAAAAAATGTCAAATAATGGTTGTTTTTTTACATAAAATACAAATTTTAGATTTAGTATTTAAATTGTTAAGATAAATTGTTAAGATAAATATGATCTATTTGCTGTATACCAATTACATTCAAGATAAATTTAAGCCAAAATAATGTAATAAATAATTAAAATACCAACAAAAAACTTACATTTTGAGGTGATTGAGCAGAGCATTTTATTACGAAATTATTTTAAATCCTAGATGTCCTAGAGAAAAACTAATGAAATTTTTGAAATCAGCGGCCCAAAATTAGTCAAACTAAGCTGGAGTACTTAAAGTTAGGAAAAAAAAGTTTGTGAAACTATCATACTGTTATAATTTCTACATGTTATTTATACAGGATGAGTCAAGAGGAAAGCACTGCAGGAGTCTTTGAAAATGGTCGCGATGGTCATATTATTGGCCTCCAAGATCTTCAGGCTTGCACAATTGTAGTATTGTTTGTGCGGTTAATTTAAAACATAATTTACAAAATTAAAGTCGATAGGAAGATAGATAAGATGATCTATGTAATAGAAACACTGCTGCAGCAGTCCTTCGTAGATAAATTAGAAAATGTTACAGGTGTGATAAAATCAATATTTTAGAGTAATGCACTTAAATCGCATAGAATGAAATGGTTTTGTCATATTACATAAGTACATACTTAAATAGTTTCTTTGTAATAAATGTTTACTTAAATAATATTTTTTAATGTTTTTTAAAATATGAGGCTTTGTTTAAAAATATGGCCCAGAAGGCCTAGTAATGAAGTTTCCCGTCTAATATCTAGTATTATTTTTAGATTGTTTAAGTAGCAAATACTGCTGTGGATAATAAAACAGGAATGCCAATACATTAATAGTGTGACAATACATCAAAAGTGTAAAGGTGTAAATTAAACCTTTTTTATTACATCATAAATTATAAATCATAATTGTTACCTGTAAAATGCCCTTGGCACTGGCAAAACGTCTTTTTTTTGGAAATACATTTTCCAGTATTAAGACATGGATTCGGTTCGCAAGCTTCCACGCGTTCTTCCTTGTAGTTAAGCAATTTGTTCTTGTATCCTTCGTCTAATTGAACTTTGAGTGAACCGTTAAGAGGCGCTCCTAGCAATCGGTTTCTCTGTCGTAGGTGAATGGTGTTCAGAAACGAGGTTATCGAGATCGGGGCCGCGGGAATAATTGCGTCTTGTCGATCGGGATCGTAGCACAATTTCCAAGACGTTCCATTTACGTCCGCGTAATTGTCGAAAACTTCGATAATTCCATTTGACTCGTTGCAGTCGCTAAAACTCACAGAACTTAATACTTCTGACTATAACTGATTAAGAAATGTTAAAAGAAATATTAAGTTAAAATGAACAAATGAAAACTCTATTAGGAGTTTTCAAGACAAACTAATTAGATTTAAAAAAAATAGCACTTAATTTCTAATTTATCTGCAAGGCTTAATTTATAGATTGCTTTACCTGCCTCGCGCCTGCCCCTAATAATATAATATAATATAATAATAATAATAATAATAATAATAATTATAATTATAATTATAATTATAATTATAATTATTATTATTATTATTATATTACGTTGTAGTGATTTTCTAGATTTCCTTATCGCCCGCTCGTATGAGTTAAATAGAATTGTGTAAAGCCATTACCAAAACTTTAGTCAAGAGCAATAAAAACAATATGTAACTTCCCTAACTTTGGAATATCTTAATGAAAAAAGGTAAAGTAGCATTTAATCATTTATAATCTTATATACATCTTTGTGTAATTTATTATTTAAGATATTTATTTAACATGTATATTCACAGGATTTGATGATGTTTCTATTATCAACTTCTTCAAATAATCTTTATAAACAATATCTTAAAATTTGAAAAAAAAATAAAACGCTCATGCTTCTTGCTCATCTAATTATAATTACCTACACTGGAGGGACCTGCAAAAGACACGTAGCATTTTCTGTCATTTCAAGTTTGGTTACTTTTTGGTTATTTTTTTTTGCTATATTTAAGTTTAAAGGAAAAGACAACGAAATTACTATATAATGCCCGTATTTATATTTAATTTATAAATACTTAACTCTTTTTCATTTTTAGCCAATTTTTCATCATTTTATTTTAATTAATTTTATTTTGACACGTGCCTGAATAAGGCCGAAGATTTCATCGATGCGAAATTGAACTAACAGATTTCAGTATACACTGAGTCCCCTCGGGTTGCCAATGGAAAAAACTGTTTTATTAGGTATGCTTTTTACGACAAAAAATGATTCCCCATAAAAACTCCTGCTTGTTTAAATATTGAGATTCCCATAAAAAAATTTAAATCAAATGTACAGGGTGCTCAGAAATTAAGAAAACATGAAAATGGTTCAAGAGAGATATACCTTTATTTATTCTCCTATAGAAAACATTCATAAGAGAAACTCGTTGACAATTTAAATTTAAGTCTGAATACATTTTTGTTAGACATTAGATTTAGATTTAATTAATTTAAATTGTCAACGACTGTTTGTTACACAAATTATAAAAGCTGTACATTTGATTACAATTTTTTTTATGGAAATATATTTTTTTAAACAAGCAGGAGTTTGTATGAGGAATGTTATTTTTTAATCGCAAAATACAAGTTTTTTTATTGGCGTTCAATTCAGGCGAAAAAATTAATTAAAATAAATTTAATTACAAACAAATCTAGAAAAATGCGAAAAATGATCTAAAAGTGGCTAAAAAATAAAAAACGAATAAATGAACGTATTAAAAATAAAACAAGTTAAAAATAAATACAGATATTTCGTTGTCTTTCTCTTAAGTAAATAAGTAAAAAGTAAATCAAAAATTACCCAAAATATATCTGAAATATCTAAATTCAACGACCAAAAATTAAGTTTACGTGTCCAGGCGTTTTCGTGTGTCTTCTCAAAAGTTGAAAATCTACCTACAGTGTTATTTATCCCTGCGAATAAAAAACTTAAAAATAGAATGTGTAAACGCGCAAGCTTATGGAATTCTATAAATTAACTTTTAGATACAAGATACAAATAGTAGGCAATCTATAAATCCAGTTCAAATTTTAATATCCTTGTAAATTTTTTGTTATGTTAATTATGAATACAATATAATAGGTTACATAAAATTTCTTACTCTATGTCGCTTAGCTTAACATCGTACAGCTCCAGGTTAATAATGTATCCCAGTGGAGCTCTAAAGTGTTGCAAAAAGTCTACGTTAGCTGCTGGATTATCTGGATAATTTAAATGCAGGAGAAGGCCACACGTGTAATTGCTCAGGCTTATTGTTCTTTCCTCGGCCATAAAATTGGTGATTTTGTAAGTGGCGCGAAAGCCAGATCCTTTCGGAGTGTTTCCTGTTCGTAATTTTAATTGCAGGCGCTCTTCTGAGGACACAAAAGTGCCCTCAGTCAATATGCCTTTGATCGCACAAGGCTTAAATGCCGATGAATGCTTACTTAAGTTGATTTCTAAAATCACTTCGTTGCTTTCCTTATTATTTAGGTCGTCATCATCTAATATTTTTGGTATATCGATATTTTCGAAATGCAGCCACACTCTTTTTCCTGCTGGCGCTAGGATGGTCACAGTACAATCGAGATGAGCAAGGAGAAAATCTGGGTAGTTTGGGCTGGTTAAAACTCCTTCTTTGGCCGTGAGTGTTTGCATTGGACAAGCGGACACGTCGATAGCTTGCCAGGTCAGGATAAATCCGCTGCCTGATATGGAATAATCGGAATGAAAATTTATTTCCGCTTCGTTGCTTTCTGACACGAAATCGAAACGATGCATGTCGGTATCGTGACTACCGCACCATTTAACCGAGTCGCTGGATTGTTTTCCGCTTTTATAAGCTGATTGCAACTCGACATAGTCATACAAACATTCCTGTTGAGGTTCGATATCTAGCGTCTTAAACTGTATAACCAGTCTCGTGCGTTCCGGTCCCACTATCCTTACTGAGAAATCTAGATTATTATAATAGCTTCCCGGATAATTTGGCGTACTAAACGTTCCGTCTGAACCGTTAAGGGTTTTATTAAAATTTATCCCAATACCTAACAACTGATGGCGCCTTTTGCAAACGTAACCACCTATTGAGTCGCATCGATGAGGTTTCCAATATAAACCACTTGGAAGCATTGGAGTGGGAGACGGTGTCCACCTTATCCCAAGACAAGAAACGTTTTCATTAGACTTTACATCATCAATTTCCGGTTTTTGACCTGGAAGCCAACCTAAATAATTCATGGGCTCTTTATCTATCCAAGTAAAGTCGTTTTTATTGTTTGTATTGGCCCCCAACCAGTATAAAGCACTTGTGCGGTATTCAGCACTCTTTCGTATATTTGTTATAATAAATCGTTCTTCATCCGGAGAAATTATGGATGCCAAGTTCGCTTTAATGCCCCGACAAATTTGTTGAGCAGTGTTCCAGGTAACCTCAGGGTAACTCACGATGAGATAACAAGAATTATTAAACATTATTAGTCGGTCATCGGCACATTGCATAGCTATAAAGAAAAAAGTATTTTAGTCGTATAAGTATAGGTAAATGTATTTTATATATTCTTTATAAAGATAAGCTTATTGATTATTTTGTAATTATAATAATAATGCCCTGTTAATTCCATGAATAGCTAAACACGCAAGTTTCATGATGCGTGCTTATTATTAATTCAAAAAATAATAAGCTATCGTTTAGGAATAAGACCAAAAACTGTTTAATATTTTCATTATTAAAATATAGCAAGCAAACTTTTAGAGTTACTTTATCCTTAAAAAGTTTACTGCCAAGTAGCTTATAATATCAAATGGGTTTTAAAACTTTTAATTGATTTTCCAAGGATATTTATTTTATAAAAACACTTTTTTCTAGCATTTCAGCATTTAAAAGTTTACTTATTAAGATTTTGCATTAAGAGAGAGAGAGAGAGAGAGAGAGAGAGAGAGAGAAGGAGAGAAAATGTAAATAGTAAGAAGTTCTGCTACTTTTAGGTAAAATTGCTTCATAAATAAGGAATATTTTTCGGCTAGGCAATAACTTCCTAAAGGCACACATTAGTAGTAGTTGCCAAAGTAGATTTGCGAAAAGATTATTTCTCTTTAGGAGGATGTTTGTACAACTAGCAGTATGCACTTTTCGGTATTTACCTACTTAAATAAATGTTTTAAAAAGGATTGTAGTATGAAATTATTAAATGTTACGTTAGTTTAGAGTAGGTTTATACTTATGTAATTAGCTGTGCTAACTGATACAGATATATATTACTATAAACGGTGTTTTATAACTGGTGACACAAAAATGAAATCTTATATGGCAAATTCCTTTTTAAACCCAAATTTAATAATATTAAGTTAAAATTTATTAAATTGATTTCAGCAAAACCAGTTTTTATGGTCGCTACCTTGCTTAAAATATCCAAATGACAATTCAAAATATCAATCCTTTTTTATTATTTTAAATTATGTTTTGGTATTGGTTTAAATCGTTTACAATTATATTGAATCTAAAATTTCAAAAGAAAATAATATTTCAATTATTTTGAATCCGAACTAAATTTTTTGTTTTAATCGGTCTGAATCGGACACTATTGAACTGAAATCTTAATCGGTTTTAATCGGGGTATCATTTAGTAAATTTACAATTGGGCCAAATTAATTTTAATTAAGATTAATAATCGACGCGTCCTTCGAATTCATCAATTTCAATTGGTATTGGACCAAGTTTTTTTCTGATTTAATCGACGTCCGATTTTGTCAATTTCAGTTGGTATGAATTGGAAAATAAATTTGAAACTATTGAACTTAAAGATTTCAATCGGTGTTTTATTTAATAAATTTCAATTGGGCTGAATTTTAAAATTCTTGAACTAAAGCTGCCAAAATAACTGTTGTCAAAATAACAGGGGCCTAAATAACAAGTGCCTAAATGACAGCTGCCAAAATGACAGGTGCTAAATTGGCAACTGTCAAAATAACACGTCGAAATGACATCTGTCAAAATAACGGTTGCCAAAATGATGACTGTTAAAATAACAGGTGTCAATATGAGCTTGAAATTTTGGCAGTAAGCATTTTATCTATCCATCGATAAAAAAAATTTGAAAATTAAGGTTTTATTTTTAAAATGGGTTCCAAACCTCCTCAAACCATTTGTATTTACTCTGTGTGGGTTAAGAAGACTTTTTTTTTTTTATTAGTATTTATTTTTTATTAATTCGATTAAACAGTTTAAAACCTGTAAAAATATTGTTCAAAACTCATACCAATTGAAATTGACAAAATTGATCAATGATTAAAACCGATTAATTTAATAGTGTCAAAATTATTTTCCAATTGGAATTAATTCAACCCAATTGAAATTGAACGTTCAAACAGCGATTAAAACAGATTAAAATCTTTTTAATAGTTTCAAAATTATTTTCCAATTCATAGCAACTAGAATTGACAAAATTGAACGTCGATTCAAACCGATTGAAATCTTTAATGTTCTTTGATTCAGACCGATAGAAACAAAAAACTTAGTTTCGATTGAATACAATTGAAATATTATTTTCTATATAAATTTAATTGATTATAATAATTATTATTTTGTATCGTTTTCTTTAACTGATAAATAAATTGAATTATTCAAAAATTATAGAGCACCTACATTTTACAAAATTTCACCAAAGGGGAGGGAGGGTTCAAGTTTAAAAACACCTTACGTAATTGCAGTTGTTTGTTGAATTGTCCTAGTTTTTCGAATATCCGGTATCCGGCCGGATATTGACTTACTATCTGGTGTCCGACCGGATAGCAAATTTTAGCCGGATAGCTCGGATACCTGATAGTTACCGGATATCCGTTTCATCTCTAATAATAATATATTATAATCTTAACAAGTTTTTAATTAAAAAATTGGAACTTTATACTCTGAAATATTTATATAAAAAATATTATTTAAACAAATTTAAAATAAAGTTAAAATTAAGTTAAATAAATTTTAATTTAATGTATATATGTTGTATGTTGTTTTACTCATGTTAGGAACACATTGTTATATACTAAAAACGTCTTAAATAAATATATTTTATCTTCTAACGTTCTTTAATTTAAACTTAACTAATGCCAACACTAAGTACTAAAGTGATTGATTATAGCCTATGGGCTATAGGCTTAAAAATAATTTAGACCAATCGGGTAAAGTTACTTACCGCATAGTCTGTAAAAGAAACAGTTTGGATCAATAAAAAAATTCTACTACTGTCAGATCTACCTAACCTAACTTTATAATTTTAATAATTATTATTATAATTATATGTTTTATGTTTTGTTTAACAAATAAAATTGTGACTTGAAGATAAAACATTGTATGCCATTTGGCATTATGACATTTATAAATAACTATTTTAAATTTATAGTATATACATATGTAGAAATAGTTTAATCTAAATTATTTTAATTAAATGTAAATTTTGTCTTGTTGAGTAGTTAATTAAATACCTTAAAATAAAGTTATATTTAGTAAAAATATAAAAAATTAATTACCATTTTCCATAGAGACCCTTGCCTTGAATCCCCCGAAATGGTGTGAATAATCTGAACTGAATCTTAATTTTAATCTGGATCCCCCACTAACATATCTTAGCAGCTTTAGCTTCGAACTCCAGTCCCCGCAAAGCCGTCTAGTCGATCCGGAACTATTAAAAGTCGCGTTCGAAGATCTTTCCAGTATTTCAAGAGAATCATAACTACATCTGTAATAAATATTTATGGTGTCACATAAGAAAAGTATTTTATAGCAATAAACATTTTTGTTTATTTTTTACAATATATTTCTGCTCACATAGTTTTAAAATTATAATGCAGTTCTAAAGACCTATTACTCCTAATAATAGTTAAATGGGATTTGCAAATATTGATATTGTTATATTGTATTATTTTACAAAGGCATTAACTTGTAGGAATTACATTATAATTGTCCCAAATAAACCATTTGCGTATATTATATTTTTTTTACTCCAACCTTTAAAACACACTAAGTGACCTTTTAAATACACATTGACAAGTTGTGGCTTTATGGCGTTTTAGTCACAGGCTGAAGTTAGTTTTAAGTTAGTTGACAGTTGCCAAATGTCATACAAACGTTATAATAAAGTACCTTTCTTATAAAATAATACTACCTAAATGTGAACATTAT